ATGTATTTCTGATACAGAAGGTAAATTACTAACTGCAAAATATAAATCCCAATTGTGTTACAAAAATATTTATTTACTTATTTATGATTTATGAAGATTATAAATATTAATATCTAGTTGTATACATTTGTTTGAAATAATTTAATATTGTAAAAGCCAAAAAAACCACCTATAATAGCAGAGCATTTAACAGAATTTTAAGATTTTAAGAAACAACCCAGGGTTGATATTATTTTAATCAAGTTCTATAATGTTATATTACGACTACTTTTAAAAGAACTATAAAAATAATTTAATAATAACTAATAAAACCAGTTCAATACAAATTTGAAAGTTCAATATGCCAAAAATAATATTTATTACTTAATTATAACTAGGAAACCAAAGTGTTATATTTGCTTGTCGTCAATTGATTAATAACGTATTAGCAAATAATATAACAGAAATCCATGCAGATTCAACATTTAAAGTCGTTCCTGTTAACATGGGAAATCAATTATTGAGTATTCATTGTATGATTGAAAACTATGTAAGTTATTTTATAGAACTTATCAAATGTTCTGTACTGTTATGTTTAAAATTAAATTGAAATAAAATAAATAAAATACAATATTAATATATATATTTTTTTTAGTCTATCCCAATAGTATATGCATTGATGGAATCCAAATCTAGGACCTCTTACCAAAGCGTGATCAATTTTATGAAAACAAATTTGTTTCCTGAACTTAAGCCTCTAATCATAGTTACTGATTATGAAAGTGCACTACGCGACACATTGCTGACCCTAGGTACAGAAGAGACTAGAGCAGTTGGTTGTTGGTTCCACCATAATCAAGTATTAGATCATTTATAAAATATTATAGATAAAGAATTTTTATCAGTATTTAGTTTAGTAATAATTATTATAATATCATTAACTATTAAGTATGCAATATTATGATCTATTTTTAACAAATTGAAAAAGAAGGGTCTTCCAAATTTTGTGTGACAGTAGATTGCACTGTTGCAGTATGACATACTTAAATTAGGGAAAAATTATGCAAATGTAAAACCTATTTGGAATCTTATTATAATAAAGAGTAAATTCAAAATAAATAAATTTAATAATTTAAAAGGGGAGATAACTATAAGGGTAACATTTAAAAGACAATGGAAACATAAATTTACATTCATTTACATTTATACATTAATAATCAAATGAGCTATTGATATTTCAATTTATTTAAATATTGACAATGAGTTATAATAATATAGGTACCTACAATGTGCTACCAGTACTTAATACATTTTTCAATATACAACCATAATAATTTGTGTACTATCTAAGTATTAATTTATTACAGTAATAAAATAAGTGTTTGGTATCTTAACTTGGATAGTTGAATAAACCTAAAAGTAAAATTTTTATGTTAGGATTCTTATTTACTGACATGCAGTATTATCATTGTCAGTTAGTAATTCTCATAACAATGAGCGGTTCATCAAGATCGAGCTATTTATGGTAAATTGATTTAAAAGTGAATTGTTTTCAAAAGACAAATCTGAGCAACAATCCAAAGTACAAGAAAAATAAAAATAAAATATATTACATATACATATTATTATATAATTATATGTAAATATTTAATATGAGTCTAAAATGTTAACTTGTATACTATGTTAACAATGTTAACTATGTGTAGTGGATAAATTAATAATATATGGTCAACGAACAAGATTTATATTTCTTTTTTCTAAACAGTTATAAAATTATAACAATTACTACCTACATAGGTATTTAAGAGGACGCTATACCCGCATGAGTTGTCTCCGTCTTACAAATGCGTACAACATAGCAAAAACTCTTTTGCGCGGGAAAGAACCGAAAAGGCTACAATCATAACTAAGAAACAACATTTTCACCATATAAAAATGAGAACTTTGGCTGTACATCGTTGTTTTTATTTTTTTGATATCACTTAATATGTAAAAAGTTCTTACTGTTTTAAAAACCATTATTGTTTGTGTTTTTCAAAATTGAAAAACTTTTTTCATATTATAAATGATATCAAAAAAATATTTATTATATTTTTAAAAGTGACCATTTTTATTTTTAAATAAATATAAAATTAATCTGTAGATTTTAAAATTCAAAATAATTTTCACTTTAGTCATTTTGTCTTAACTACTTAAATATTTCATAGCGAAATCTATTGTGACATACAATTTTAGAGACTCTGTATGTTCTATTCATATATAATAATTATAAGATATTATAGATATAATGCAATAAAAAAAAAAAAAAGCTAATGTATTTATTAAATAGAAACTGATGATTAAGTTAATTTATAAAATTCACAGGAAACAAAAACTAGAATTACATTTGCATGATATGTTTTTATAGATTTATACATGTAGTAATTGTGCTACTTATGGGTATTGTCTTTGAGTAAAATAAATAATGATTTTTAGAAAATGAATTATTTTAATTAAATTTAATAAATTATAGGTATTGTTACTTTTTATTTAAACACGTTTAATATTTGATAATTATGTCTTTTTAAAATTATAGGCTGTTTGGAAAAAAATGAAGGCACTTAGTTACTTAAATTTGGTAAACACAAATGCTTTTGCATTGAAAGCTCTCAAAATGCTTATGTGCTTACCTCTTCTTCCAGCCACAAAAATAGAAGAAGGTTTTATACTTATCAAGTCTTTTGCCATACACCATAGTGTTCCTATGGTCAATCTTTTTAATTATTATCAAAGGTATGTGTTGTCCTTGTATATAATTGTATTAACAAAAAAAAAAAAAAATAATGATTAATTCTATATTTCTATGTATAAAAAAGGTATTGGATTAACCGTGTTGGACCAAATGTAGTATCTGTGAATGGGGTTCCACGTAGGACCAACAATAATGTGGAAAGTTTCCACAATGTCCTCAGATATAAATTTTCAGTAACTCATCCGAGCTTGTGGGTTTTTCTCAGTAAGACAATTTACTTTATTTTTTACTTATTTGTTTAGTGTTATATTACTAATTTGTATTAGTGGACAAAAATCAATTATTTAATTTTTCTTTAATTTAAAGAATATTTTACTGTGGTATTTGTATTACATTCGAAAAGCATTATTGTTATATTTTTTTGTTTTAATATTAAGTTTTAAACAAATAAGTCAATCTATACTCTGTTCAGAATGATATCAGTACCAGACGGCAACCAGTTTTTGTTCTTGCGACGGTCAAATGCCATTCCCACTACAGCGGTGCGTATAGTTGTGTCGTGTGCCCTCCTTCCACCCCCGGTACTGATCTTATTTTGAACAGAGTATATCATATACTTAAGTCGTATAATATAGGTACTAACTATAAGATATGTAAACTATACATTTGTTAATTTATAAAAATCAATAATTACAAATTAATTTTACTTTCTTTATGGTTATATTTTTCATATAATTAATTTTTAACTGTAGATAATCAGAAATCACATTGCTCAAAAATATAAATGATAAATATTTCTAAAAATCAAATATTGCCTGTATGCATAGTCAATTTATGTAACATAGGACATTATGTTAAACTATGTCTTATGTGACACAAAAATTTACTAGGCATACGGACATATAAATTAAAATTATGAAGTAATAAATAATATACAGGCTACTGCAAGCTATTAGTTATTAGCAGGGCTCGTAACTTCATGCACTAAAATATGCATTATGTAAATAAATCACAAGCAAATTTTAAAATAATAACAAATCCTTAAATTTAAAAAAATTCAAATTCTGCCACAAAATTTTGCAAACGAGTCGCAACTGTTTGTTTTTCTTTCGGCATTGTTTAAATAAAATATGAACAATGTGTGCAGATCCTATACCTCACACGAAAACAGAAATTGAACGGTTGAACGCATACGACTCATACGAGTAAACTCATCGGAGAGTGCAAGAAAACTATACTGTACCAATGTACAAAATTATAAATGCTGGTTGGTGAGTAGCTGCACGAGTGTACAGATTCGTTTCGACGACAGACTTTGATTGAAGGTAGTGGTAGCGATTACATTGTTTCCGCGGTACTACGTAAAACGCATAAAATCTAAATAGGTATGTACTAGGACACTAGGTCACACACACACTGAATACAAATAAATCAAAACACTATAATTTTGTAAACGGGAAAGTAAATAAAAAACAAGTAACTTTTCAAATATTTGTCTAAAAAATATTTATATGAAATAATGTGCACTAACGACTGTAAAAAATCGACTATATGCCAAATATGCCTTAACACCCAAAACATGCAAAAACATATGCACTATCAAACTTCATATTATTATTACTATTGTTATGAAACGGATTTGTATCTCAGTTAGCATGTTTTCCTGTATAACAAAAAAACATGCAGATGCATGAACTTACGAGCCCTGGTTATTAGTAATAACTTATTACTCTAGTTGGTAGTTNATATACATTAATATAATAATTGCTTAAGTTGTATACAACCGACCATTAGTGACTAATAGGTACAACTATTTTGAGAACCATTGTTATTATTTTATTTCCGGATTTTTACATTCCGGATTATAACGATCCGGGATTTTACGTTCCGGAATATTACGTTCCGTGGTTTTACGTTCCGGATTACTTACGTTCCGGGATATTACGTTCCGTAGTTTTACATTCCGGATTATTACGATCCGGGATTTTACGTTCCGGAATATTACGTTCCGTGGTTTTACATTCCGGAATTTTATTTTCCGGTGTTTTATCAATCCGGATCATTTATTTTCCGGAAAATTACGGCCTACCCTCGGCAAGTCTCGGGAATGATTTTTCCTAGAGCTTGGGCAGATATCGCACATGAAAATTTAAGGTCTTCAAAACTCCTTCCAGTGGCCAAAAACCGCAATGTTGCTACAAGTCGCTCTTCCGCAGAAATACTTTCTCGCATTATTGTATTCTGTTTCTCTATAAACGGTCTAACTAAGTTCAACAACTCATAAAATGTATGATTTTCCATGCGCAAATAATTTTTGAAATCTGCAGGTTCATTTGATTGAAGCTCACGTAATAAATTCATGTGCGAATATTGTCTTCTCTCCAGTAACCACTGTTTTGACCATTTCCTTTTTTTCTTCTGTTTATCTTCATCATCCACAGCCAAAACAAGAGCAGCTACAATTAAGGATTTTCTTTTTCTTTCCAATAATTCGGACATCGTGCAAATAATAAGTTGGAAATGTTAGAAAATATCAAATTTACAAATTTATAATCTACGAAAACATAACATAAGAACTTCGCGCTCCGTAGAATACTGTGGTGACTACTGTGCGTCGCGCGTCGTGATTAAACATATTAGCAAGTTGATAGACAAATCGATTTGTGTGTGGAGTAGAGATGTTTGACGACAAATTGACCGATTGGTCTGTCGATATATCGTTCCATGTATGGGACCCTTTACAGTTATATACTCAAATATTCAATGATGTGACATATTTGATACCTACTACACAGTAAAGCTGTTAAATACTTGACGAATTTTTATTATCATTGGATATTTAAAAAAACAACTTTTTTTAAAACATTTAGTTATACCTTAGTCATACTAAAACGTATGTCGTATGACCACGCCAGGATGAACGCGTAATTTGTTTTTAAGAAAGCAAACTTTCGAACACTGTGGACCATTCAGTGCGCTTCAGAACTATAGAATTTGGAGTTTAAAAATAAGATGCAGATACATTAACAATTACCATATTACATACCATATTAATATATCATGAGAGCTCGATGGATATTATTTCAAATAGTTTACACAGGCAATCCGTTTAATTCGTTAATTTATGAAGTTCCTGTTTAATTGGCACTTGCAGTTAATTTTTCCAACAATATATATAATTTATTTATTAAATCATCATAACCATTAACCATTACATTAATATATAATATATTATATGATGTTATAATAAAATAGGATGATGTAGTCAAAAAATGCATAGTATCATAAGTACAACAATTGTATATTTATATATTATATTAGGTTTGTTCCAGCATAGTGTTGCAAGTGGTTGCAAACGTTCAGCGCATGCGCAATGTCAAAAACGTGTTCCAGCAGAGCAAATTTAAAACACCCAACAAAATGTTTTCTGTTCCATCAGTACTGCAACATATTATCGACTTGTTGGAAACAATAATTTTCTGTTGTGAGTTATACGCAGGGCCGGATTTAGAGGGGGGCCCAGGGGGCCCCGGGCCCCAGGCCTCCACAAATTGAGGGCCCCCACTAAATGTTTTTTTTTACATCCAAGTATAAAACACAATATAACATTTTCAAAACGGATTTAAATCACAACATGAATAAAAATATTCAATCATTGATATTGTCATAAATTTATAAATAAATGTTATTATTAATATTTAATAACTAATGAATTTATAGAAGTGAGTAGCTAGCTTACAAATGTGAATTTAAAATCGATTATTATGTTATTATGTTATTATTATCTTGTAGACTTGTAGATATTTTAATTAAAAACAGTTATAAATAAACACATATTATAACTTGTATAGCAAGCCGTCCGCTGTGGACTGTTATAAATAAATGTGTGCTGAATAAAAATAAATAAAAATAAAAAAAAAGTGAAAAAATAAAATAAAAAGTTCTAAACAAAAACATGCGATAACGTAGACTGTAGAGAAAGATGTAATTATTTATGATATTGATGCGGTAGACTGTAGACGATAGGAAAAATAGATGGTACACTCAGTTTTCACGCTTCAACCATAAAGTATATTTATGTGATATTTATCCAGGTTAGTACAATGTATTTTTCATTAAATTAAATTTAGTAATTCGACGATTTTCAATCAAGGGGGCTGCTGTCTGTGTAAAAAAGTGGCATTTAGACCAAAAATCTAGACGAAACTGTAGTAATTTGGTTTGACAGATTTCAATTTTGAAAACGGATTAAGATTGATTAACGAGATAACCTACTAGGTTTTTATCGTGGTGGTTTTTAATATTCCGAAAATTGTTAGTGTCACGATTAAAAATATAAATAAAAAATATCGTTTTTTATATTTATTGATAGCACAGCTGGAAAAATGGATTTTAAAAATCACCTCGATAAAAACCTAGTTATAATTTAATAATCTATAATATAATAGTATAATAACAACTTGTTCCTGCACGTACGATAGTAGTTAAGAGCCGTCACTGTAGGTAGAAAAAAATAGATCGTAAAAACATGTTTTCGTAGTTCCAATAGTACTCAGGCCTCGTAAGTCGTAGAAACTTAGTTTTTATACCAAATTAAACACGAGAAGTTTATCTAATAACTGTTGGAAAATATTTTTTAAATTTGTTTTCTAATTTTATTTGTGTTTGAAAAATTTGTAAAAAAATTAAGTGTCCACTGAGTATAACTGGCTGTCCGACCGGGCGATATTATATTATGCGGGCCTACGGATACAATTCCACAAAATATAAGATTGATATTTTATGATATGTGAATATGTGATTATAACTAATATTCATAAATTATAATGATTGGAATAATGGGTTAACGGAAAACTGGTACGGTCTTTTTAAACTCGGAATAAGATAAGATACCATAAGATACCATAATTAATATCTATTAATCAATAATGTCATGACTCATGAACTATAATATACAGCAAGTTCTCACCAGTACATTAATCGCAATAGTGGATTGAGTGTGTTCTATTTTTCACTTAAAAAAAATTATTATTATTTTATTATTTAAAAACGTATTGAATATCGTTGTAATTTTATGATTGTATGTATAATTGACCACTAAAATTAAATTTTGAATAGTACCAGTTTTCGCGTTTTTTATTTCTTTTGTTATACATTGTATAGACCGTACCAATATTCCGAGCATCGGAATAATGTTCATAGCTGAGCAATGCAATATGCAAATAATTGTCTATATTAATTTCCTTAAAACACGATCGACTGCAGCCTCCTTAAACGGTATAAATTAAGTATTTAATTGTTATTTTTAAATAATAATCCTACTATTCCTACTGGAATGAAATATTCACTGAATAGGTACTTATAATATCAGATACATTTGTAATATAAATATATTTTGCTCTATTATAGTCAGAAATTCTTCATTTACCATAATTATGGACGATCGTCATAAAACACCTCGCATATATGCTTCTGGTGCACAAAAAAGAAAGTTAAAAGTAGACCGTGATAACCAGAGAGAAGAAGTTATTTCCCAAATTCCAAAATTGACCAACTATTTTATTTCCTCGAGACAGTCAGCAAATGTTTCAAAAAATGAAACTAATAATGAAAATGTTGAAATTTTAACCTTCAATGAAAATGAAACAATTTGTGAAAATGTAGTTGTCGAACAATCTAACCCAAAAGTGGAGAATAATGAATCAATAGAAAAGGAAAAAAAATGATGATTCTGAACCTCGTAAATTAAATATTGAAAATACCAATACTATAGAAAATGAACCAATCGTAGAACAGGAAATTTCGAAGACATTTATTGGTTTTGAAAATGATGTTGGTATTTGGCCTCAAAACTCTACCAATGAAATGATAACATACTGGATAAAACAAGGATCTAAACATTTGCAAAACTGCGATAAAATTGTATTAGAAACAAAATCCGTCCAACAAGATCGGGTTGATCGCTCTGCACATAATACTAGAAAATGTTCTATACATTTTTTCAAACGGATAACTAAAAATAAAGAAGTTATTAATCGTAATTGGCTATGTTTTTCACCAACTACTGGTAAACTTTATTGTTATATTTGTAAACTATTAGGGATAAAAAGTGGAAAGTTATCTAGTGATGGATTTTGTGATTGGAAGCATGCAGCTGAAAAGTTATCCCAACATGAAACATCTAAACATCATCTTGAAGCAATTCTTGCATTAAATCATCGAGAGAGAAAAATTGGTTGTCTTGATCATCAACTTCAAAAACAAATTGCAGAATTATCTTCTTATTGGCGTAAAGTTCTAAAGCGAGTAGTAAGCACGATCAAATTTATCGCAGAACGTGGCTTAGCATTTAGAGGAGATAACGAAATAATTGGTTCACCAAGAAATGGAAATTATCTTGGAATTCTTGAATTAGTGGCGGAGTTTGATCCACTTCTATCGGCTCATATAAGAGATCATGCGAATAAAAAAAGTGGCCACACAAATTACCTTTCATCAACTATTTGTGAAGAATTAATTGATCTTATGGCTAAAGAAGTATTAGGCGAAATAATTACAAGAATTAAAAAATCAAAATATTATTTTGTATCTGTAGATTCTACTCCCGATGAAGCACATATAGATCAATTGACTATAGTAGTACGCTATATGGAAGAAATAACTCCAGTAGAAAGATTCTTAACATTTGTACCAAATTGTGGTCACACTGGCATTGAAATGGCAAATACTCTTATTACATTTTTGGACTATCATAAAATTGAATTGAACGACTGTCGTGGTCAGTCATATGATAATGCGGCTAACATGAGTGGCAAGTATCAAGGAATGCAAGCCTTAATTAAAAATAAAAATGAATTCGCAGAATTTGTTCCATGTTGTGGTCACTCTCTAAATTTAGTTGGGAAAACAGCAGCCAACTCATGTGTTGCAGCTATTCGATTCTTTGATTTTATACAAAACCTGTACGTGTTTTTTACTGCAACTCCCACACGTTATGCACTTTTAACAAAAAAATTAGCTTGCATAGATAAAAATAAACGTGTTTACGTATTAAAGAATTTGAATGAAACCCGTTGGTCATGTCGTGCAGATGCAACAAAAGCAGTTGTATTTGGTTATGATTTTATAAAAGAAGCTTTGGAAGAAATTTCAAACGATCTTGAACAAAAAGACATTGTTAAAATCGAATCAAAAAAACTCAATGAATCAATGTGTACACTTGAAGTGGCATTTTATGCAATTTTTTGGAATGACATTTTAGAGAGGTTTGATTTAACAAGCCATCTTTTACAAGACCCGAAAATAGTTCTTCAAACTGCTGTAAATGCCCTAAATTCTCTTTTATCATTTGTTCAAGAAATACGAAATAAATATGAAGAGTACGAAGAAAAAGCAAAACAAATGTCAGGATTAAAAGATCAGAGCCGTACCGATCCATTTTTTATCCTGAGGCAGAACTTTAGCAATGCGCCCCCTGGGGGGGGGGGGGGACCCCCCCCCCTTTTTTTATTTTTTTTANTGTACATAATATTTCTTAATTAAAAAATAGATGAATTTTATACAAGTTTGAATTACATACTCTTTATTAGGTATTAAAATTTACTTTTTCTTTTTTAATAAAATTACCTTAAATTCACTGATACACTATTTAAATAATTAAATTCTACTAATAAACAGACTTGGTTAATTTTATAATAACAACGTTATATTGTATGAGCGTTAACATATTATGCAGAGCCGTACCGATCCATTTTTTATCCTGAGGCAGAACTTTAGCAATGCGCCCCCTGGGGGGGTGACACACTCGCAGTTTTTAATATTTTTTAATAAAATAATGAGATTAGAAAAATCAGTAAATTTTTAATTAGGTTTCGAGCTAAACAAGAAATAATATTTTTAGCCACAAGTTTATAATTCTCAACCTTATATTATAGGAAACAAATCAATTCGAATTTTACAAATTTATTTATAAAGTATTTCAAAATAATAATTAATAATAATAAAAATAAAATAATCATTATTTATAACGATATTTTCCTTGCTTTTGTGTCGGCAAATTTGTCAATAACTTCTTCGTAATCCAATTTACTAGCGATTTCTGTTTCTATTGAAAGTATGGCCATGCTTGATAATCTCTCTTGAGCCATTGTAGATCTTAAGTATGTTTTTATCAATTTAAGTTTGCTGAAACTCCTTTCACATGAAGCTGTTGTAACGGGCATTGAGAGAAAAATCCTTATAGCAATTTCAATATTTAAATACGATTCTTTAAGCTTATAATCGTGAATCATTTGTAATAAATCCAAAAACGTAACTGATTCAATACTTGGCAAAATTGATAAAGCTGCATGTTTGAAATCTTTAATTTCTTCAACTATTTCAGGTACATTTCCCCAGCCCCCCCAATTCAACATTTTTTCATTAAAACAAGATAAAACGTTTGTAACTCGTTTGTAAAGGTTTGTAAAGACAAATTTTTCGTTTGAAAAAAAACACATAAAAAGTTATTAAAAAATCAAAGTGGGGGGGCTGGAGAAATGGGGAGATTTTGGAAAAAACCAACTTTTTTTAGCTCAATCGTTTGTAACTCGTTTGTAAAGGTTTGTAAAGACAAATTTTTCGTTTGTAAAAAAACACATAAAAAGTTATTAAAAAACCTAACCTAACCTAACCTAACCTAACCTACCTAATTGTGGTTATTTATTAGATACATTAGAATGCCTAGTTGTTGTATATATGGTTTAATATGTACCTATTCATTTAATTTTTCCATTTATTTGTATTATTGTAATTAGAAGCAGATAAGTAGTTACATATACTTAAAAATCAACCTTATGTATTCAAAAATGTAATAAAATGATTTTAATAAACACAATTTTTTGTGAAATTTTCAAATAATGAACTTCAATATATTTCTAAAACATAACATTTTGTACAAAATATTGTTTTACCAATACTCAAATACTTTACAATACTAACTATAATAACTAATAATAATATTTACATACTATATATTTAGTTAAATTCATTGTTAAAATTTGTTTTTATTTTGGTTTCATAATTCATTGAATTTTAATGAAGTTATAAATGTTTCATAATACATAGGTAATTTATGAAACCTTTATTACTATATTTACAATACTTAAATAATATGGTTATTTATATTTTGGTTTAGTAACTGTGCAAATAGATCAAGTTTATTTTAAGATCCTGAATAATTATGAACGTATTCGTTTTTTCAGTCGGTTTTGCCCCGT